CAATAATCAAATCCTTAAGTAGGTAGATTTCTGCTTGCTTTGCCTAGTTGAAGCATATTAGGCAAGTGGTAAGATGGTGAATGAGACTTTGCTAAATGGTGGATAATAGCTATCTGTTATCATGCTATCTTTTCATGGGTTGGAAGTGACCAACTACAATTGTCCAGCGACAACAGCAGCAACATCCAATGCCAATCACCATCAACGAGAGGGATTTGAAAGTGGTTACTTCATTCACTTATCTAGCTAGCATTGTCTCAACTACAGGCAGTCAGAACGGACGAGAATGTCAAATCTAGCGAGAATCGGGATGGCGAATATCATTCATCAACCTGAAACCAATCTGCAAACCTTCGTCACTCAACTCACCATCAACAACAAATCCAGTTGGATCTTCAATACAAACGTGAAGTCAGTTCTTCTGTGCGGATCAGAAACTTGGCGGGCGGGTCACAAAGATTATTTCCAACAGCCTGTTGCAGAACTTTATCAACAACTGTCTTCACTGGATCTATACTGAAGATCAGATGGCCGGACCGGAAAGAATCACCAACAAGAAACTATGGGAAGAAACAAAACAAGAACCAATCGCCAACCAACAAATATACAGGAGAAAGTGGGGATGGATTGGACACTCGCTGAGGAGGCCACTGGGTGACATCGCGCGCGCGTCAGGCCATTGCTCGAGTGGAACCCGAAAGGGAAGCAAGGGGCGAGTGGGATGTCAGTGCAAGGGTGACATGGAGGAGATCGTGTGAAGAGGAGTTGAAAGAGTATGGACTAACATGGATGCAGGTGAAAAGTACAGCAGAAGGAAGACAGAAGTAAGTGGATAGGTGAAGTTGAAGCCCTATGTTCCACTGGATACTCAAGGGAACAATAATAATAATAATAACTACATTTGTCCACGTCATGACAATTTTGTTCTAGTCACGTGTCTCGGATACGGCTAATAAACATATGGGATCAATTATTCGCTTTATAATAGATGGACTAAGCTTCTCCTGTAACGTCTTTTGACTGAAATTTCTGTCTCCCCAGTGCAGTCTAGTCTCACTCATTTCAAATGTGATTTCGTATTCACCTTTTTTCCTGGAGTTTACCACTTTCCTTTTATTTACCTACTACTCTTGTCAATCTGATGTGTTTGCTTGATGTGTACATAAATTGTCTATGATGCTTATCAAGTACCCCTCATAAGTAAAATTGTGAGGTTTTAGTCGTAAGGTGTCAGTTAGAGAGGGGATGTCAATGAATATGAGACTGTGAAGTACCGTCGTTACTTTCATCCTCGATCACCCTTCACCTCTACAAATAATGCCGGTTGATAAATGTATGACTGGATTGGAGCTGTGTTAGGGATAATAAGACTGAATATGTTACCAATCTACTAAGTCATTTACTGCTGGTTTTGACGAATTACAAATCAGTGTAAAGTGCTTAGCTGAGATCCTCAGGACATTAAGAATCACTGGCGGCAGTCTTTTTAGGTGATATGATTTAAAATCATTCAGGTGAACGTTAATGTATTCGCACGGTGTCATCTTCTTGATCCCGAAAAGTTTCAGCCCCTTATCTTTATTTAGCTACTGTCTTCACTTACATCATCGTCCGTTGAAGTAGTTTCATTACACTGTTTTTCTCTACCTTTATGTATGCGTCTACAAAGTGTGGTGATTTGAGGTGATGCACATTTTTGGGGAGATCTACATTGATAATTCTGTGCATCTTTGAATCAGTGATCAGATGGAATACATGTTGTGTTTCTTCGAAGCTTCGCGCAGATGGATGGATTATGATCACTTTCTGTTGTACTTTTGTTTCGAAAATTTTGGTCAACATTTATTTACCTTGTTTGTTCACGACTTAACAACGGGGGCAAAAACACTTCAGTCATTATATAAGTTTAGATAAGCTTATCTCATACAACATTATATTCTCTCAGTGCCGCAATTCTAATCTTTAATTTCAATAGATACATAAATGTACACAATAATTCGTTCGGATTCCTCCTGCTTTTTTGAAGCAGCAACAATCTTCGAGCGGTTCCTTCGGTCCACAACTTCTAGGTAAATAACCTACATAACATATTGCACAAAATGCTGAAAATTCCACACTGTATCATTAATGCTGTTTTAAAGTAAATTTAGTAGTATTGTCTTTGTTTATCTGTTGGCTGTCGCTAAGTGAGAACATGTTTCCGATGTCTGAAGTTAGTGTTGCCCGAAATGAACAGATGAGCATATGAACTAAATTGTAACAGTCAGTCGTCGTACCCCATTCGTATGCGCGAGACTCCAAGCATTAACAGTCTGTTTTACCGATTGTTTCAGCTTTCCTTGCAAGGTATATACAAATATTCTCTAATATGACCACATAAAGGCATTCTGTTTAAGTAGCAAACTCAGTAGATCCTAGTAAAACTTATATACTTCATCCAAACTACAATCATCTGGTACATAAATGAAGATTATGAGAATATATTCAGTACCAACGTCTTTTCTTATTTTTTTTATCTATTCGATCCGATAGCATCTTATCCGTGGGAATACTATCCAGAAAGGACTTCTGTGTTCTACAGCTTATTACCGTTTCTCTGCCAACAAGTCCACGATGATTAAGGGTAGCTATGCTAACTGGGATGAATAATCCACCACAGGAAACTGGGAATAATCATATCAAGGTGATACGGTGTGCTCGAAACGTCATCAGTAAACATTACTGTATAACACTGTGAGACTTTATCAGAACAAAATTTACCCATAATAGAATTACACTCTACCACAGTGCAAAAGTTTTATTCTTATATCAATTTTATCTATCTTTCCTCACATACTGATCGCAGTTGGGATCAAGAAAATGATGAGCGTGACGTGAAACCCCCACTATGAGTTAAGCCGTAGTTGTGAATGTACATAAAATTCAAGTATCTGCAAAGCCCTTATTTGTTCAGCTTCCTGATGATACATATATTTAGAAAGAAGTTAGCTGGACGTTCACTAGAGCATTACAGTGAAATTCACCCAATGTAGAAGAAAACAGTATTCAGTCATTTAATTAATTGTCATCAAAAAGCACATGCATAATAACATACCACGCAATCAAAATCTGACTGTAGATAAATCTAGCTAACTCCCACCATGTGACTCGCTTGTTCGAACTCGAATGCCTAGTCTAAAGCGATTAGTAACCCACGGCTACACTCTGCTGCCTCTACACTAATGAAGACAGTAAATATCTAGACTATAGATACCGCGAATCCCCTGTAGTGATTTGAGCACTACAGTCAGGCTGAATCAGTATGAAATTATTTACAATAATCCCAGAATGCTTAGAAAATCGTAACAGATTTGTCGCCCCGTAAGCCACAGCCTCTTCAACAGAATTACTTGGATCCGAGTAGAATCTGTCTTCGATTTTCTAAACACTCTTGGATTATTTGACTGGTGAAGACAATTTATAGTCTATAGCCAATAGTTTCTTAAGGACATTTGGTGTCTGTAGCCTCATTCAAACTGTTCCATATATAAGGACTGATTTATATGGGCTCCAACCATGACGTCGAATGAAAGATGCTTAAATGTAAGCTGAATTGAAGCGTGACAAACATGAACACTGCAGTGTAACGAAAGCGATGAGAATTGACCAGGTATCACCATGTGTTGCACTCATCAGCTATTTAGGCGTATAAAGGAGATAGATAGTGAAGATTCTATATGAAGTGGAAATATGTTTGAGAATGATTTGATCATAGTGATGATTCTTCAGGAACGTCAGGAAGCAGTTTAACTGGCTCACAGTTGAAATACTGTTGCCTTCCATCCATTCCTTAGCCAGAATGGGATATAAACACTGTTTCTCCAAATGTTACCGAAGCTGAGGACGCCATGCCTAGCCTTAAGTGAGGATAAAAATGATTGCTTGGATTCAGAGCCATTTAAGAGCTATGGCGAGGATTCATTGGCTACATTAGTCATGAAACTAGAGCATTTGCAAATCCAAATTATTGTCAATGAGCTGGTGAAGATCGTCTAACAATGATAAGGCGGTTAGCTTGACCCATGATACGATGGTCGGATATCATAAAAAGATTATTTGGTGCTCCAAAGGAGATAATCAGTAAAAAACATGCAGATTTTAGGCCAAGACAAGGACACTTTGATCAAATCTCAACTCAGAACACGCACACAACATCAATTACCGGTGTAGAACATTTTTTGGCTAGAAGGCGGCGTCCATCGACAAGTTCTAAAAGTTGAGGTGTCTTAACATTATCTTATCCTGATCACGCCTTCATATCCCTATGTAATGTAACAACTTGTTCAGATCCATCATTTTAGGTGACAACAACCAGTGACTTCCTCTGGTGACAAGCATTATCACTTTTTGTATAAATGTACTGACTGCAGTCAATCTGCTAAACTGTCGATTTAGAAAACACAGACAGAACAGTTGTTTCAGTGAAGTCACTGATATTAAGCAATCTACTAGACTTCATTCTGAAACAGTTATAAATGTTTCACATGTGGTTAAATTTTCAGGTGGTGTTGAAGGCCTCGTGTGAATAGAACCTCACTTTAATGATAGACAGTGAAATGGGTGTATGTGCTAATAGTTTCATCAGTGACGAAATCTCAACACTGAAACTAAAGTCTCCTTTGACATCTTCCAGAATTTGACTTAACTTTTGGTTGTTTGCTTATTTTTTCTAACTACTTAAAACTCTTGCGTAATACCGTATGTTATTTTGCTTCCATGTACACAACATGAGCACAACTGTTTCATCAAGCTATTCATGTTATTACGTACCTCTTCTTTAACAATCGTTTGTGACAACTCATCACTTTTGTTACTACCCTCTTATATCAACATCTTCCAGAATGCATCACTTTTCACCACGGCCCACGAAATCATCTCTTAGCTTACGTTACTTGACTGGAATTTTCCGAATCAGTGACATGACTCTCTCAAGTGAATGAATCAAATACCAAGAAAAGAAATTGCTATAAAATATTACTTGTATTGCCATGGATAAGATCAAAATTGAGCAACTAGAAATGTAACAATGATAATAATATGAATGAACAATTTTGGGTACATTATCATGCTTGTTAGTTCATTGAAGTGTGTAGATCATATTAAGGTCTAAGTGATTACATGAATACGGGCAACAAGAAAATATAAAAGATGACTAATATTCATAAATCATTTATGAAAAAATGCATAGAATTCCATATATCAACAGTAAAATCTGTATGATTAGTGCAACATTCATATATCATTGACCAATCATTAATATGAAGCTTTATTCTAGAAAATCACCGGCATTTCTGTGAAAAAGAAAACTCTTAAAAATTTCGTGAAAGCAAAGTTGTTAACGACAAACAAACTAATTCTGTAGGGACTGAAAGCCCTTGAGATAAGCAGTCCACCGAACAGCTGTATTTCTCCACTGAACAGCTCTTTTTGGATCTAAATCAATCAAAATTCGTAGTTGCTGAATGTGTAAAGAATGATAGCTCCAACGAGCTCTGTTAGGACCGGAAGACAACTGATATGTATTTTTGGCTTGCTTATGCTCAGTTTCTTTCATAGGTTGAATAAAGTCGGCTGAAAGATGACGAAGGTCATAGAAGCTGCCACTGCCAGAATCGAATAGTGGAAGTAATTTAGACAAACTTGTGAGTCCTGCATCTAAAAGAGCTTGCGCTTTCAACACACCCGAAGACACTGAGGGATCTGAATTGCCCGTTGCCACCTGGAATCAAATAGAATGAAATGAAATTCTGGAGTAATAAGCACACTACTGGAATACATATGAATCAAAAAGTTGGAAATGGCTGTAGTGATGACTTTTCTTTCTCTAAACCTTGATACACCTTCACAGCGAAGTACGACTGTTTGTACAATTGGGTAATCGCTAATAGCTACCAGTGTACAAATACCCGACTAGTTCAGAGAAGATATAGATTGTAATGAAGAGGAAAACTTCTTAGACTGCCATCAAACCACTAAACAATTGTGATGAAAACATGAACGCCTTTTAAAATGAGTGGATGAACCAAAAGCTTGGTAAGACAATGTAATTATAACATATATCTTTAAGTATTTGAAAACAGTCACCTGAAGTTAGTCGTAGAGCATACAGAAATATAATTTCAAGCAAATTTGTTAAAACAAAACGTGCACACGGCTAGACTAGTGTTATTTATTGATGATATTTTAAATGCATTACTGATATAATCCTATTGTTTGTAACTCTCTGACTACATCACCAGTAATAACATCTTTCCATGTCCGCTGTACTAGAGCGTTCCCAATGCTACCGTGGTACTGATTAGATGGACAGCTAACAACATTAGGGCCTTAGGTAGGTATGCTCCTCTCTGAATGGTTTCACAAATAGCACTAGCTGCTTAATTATTCAGAAATCCACCGAGTTCTTATACGGCTTGGCAGCATATTTTACACTGAACACGCTAAATTTCCTTCTAAATTACCCTAATTCCATTGCATTGAATGAAGCTTTCAATCTTCACATTGCACCCATTGCCAGTAATTAACATCCGAATGTCTACAACAGTGATGATTAATACCGATTTAATCAAACCTAACCAAACTGTTACGGCACCACGATGACCCAAGTAACTCGAAGTCGTTTCTATCTTTGCCTTATGCTTATGCAGCTGACGATATAAAACATGTTATCAAGCTGCTTAATTAAATATATTCCAATAAATGTGCTCAATTTCAACCCAGTAAAGTTTACACCAATAAAATATATTTTGCATTTACCTGAGTGAAATCATACAATCCAATAAGTGAATAAATGAAACCATTCAGTATATGAATAGGAGGATCAAATGGATACTCTTCAAACCATATTAATTCTGATTGATTGAGAAAATACGAACGAACACCACCATATCTTATGCTTAGATTAAACAAGTCTAATGAACGAGAACATGCCCGTAGATACAACAGGTTACCAGTGTAGTTGTAAGCTCTGACCAATAAGGAAATAGCTTGACCTGTTTTAAATAAACAAGCAGATAAATAAAAAGATAAATTAGCATTCAAGAAGATAAACAGTAAAATCCAGTCGCAGTCAGTACCTCTTGGTGATGGAGGAGCACGCTACACAATGGGTAGACGTCGTCGCGATCCCTGGTCAACGCACAGAAACTGTGACAGACGCAGTAGTTCGACACACCGTTGCAGACCATGGTTTACTAAAGACGATATTGACAGATTAGGGTCCTTGTTTTGAAAGCGAAGAATCCACTTCCCATTTACAACAATCGGTTATCAAGAAGATCAGAACACCATATCATCCGCAAACGAATAGTATGACAGAGAGAAATAATCCTACACTGAAGGAGTTGCTGGTTTTGAAGGGAGGTAACTGGGAGACAGCTTCCATTAATTCTACTATCACATCTTGCGTCCACCCACGAAAGAACAAAGAACCCACCATTTCAGTTGATGTATGGGAGAAAACCACAAATACCAATACACAACACCACCTGTTCCCTCCACCAGGAGTGGAATATGACGAGGCTGTGAACGGAACGGAAAGAAGCTGTCAGGAATATGAAGCGTAAACAGAAGACGCCATGAAATCAGAACTTTTGAGGTCGGCGATCAAGTAAAGTGTACAGAAAGACAGGAAGCGACAAGATGTCGGCCAGGATCACAGAAACTCCTCCCGAAGTGGAAAGGGCCATATACTGTCATCGAGAGACGTGGTCTCGTTTATACCATCAAAAGAGGAAATAAACAGAAACGGGCTAACATCAGCTAACTGCAGAAATGGATCCTGTGGGATAAAGAAGCCCTGACCAAGGTACAACAGGAAGGGGTAGAACCAAGAAGGCCGGAACGACTCCGTTTGAAACTATTTGGTGAGAGGCGACGATTGTGGCGAGTGCTACTGATACGATTTATTAGTATATAAAGGGATGTTCATCGGTATAAAAACATCAAATAGCAGGGAGATATAATTGATTTCAGAAAAGGCAAATGATACAGCGTTGTGGAGATACATAGGAGACGTGAAAGGAACACAAAGAAACACAATATGAAGGCCAGAAGTACCACAACACCAAAGACCGGTGCAAATGGTGCTTTGAAGATAAGGTGTACATAATTTGGCCATATAGAAATACCAAGTTTTTCGTTTCCTACCGTTTCAATACATCAGTGTTCAACACTATTTTATTTTGGTGAACAACTTTTCGAAAACAGGTTCATTTCAAAAGCCCTATAATATTTAATGCATCTTCCGTTTCCTTCTGCATATTTGTTGAGCGATAGGTCCTCGGTTGGTTCGTTGCCAGAGATCCTTGTTGTTCATCATTGCTCACCATGCCAGATCATTATCATCACACAGATATTGAATGGGGTTTATAAATGGTTGTATGAATGCATAACGTAGTGTTGGAGTAGTCGGAAAATTTACTTCACAGTGGACGCTAGCGAAGACCTTTTCAAAATCGATGAAGTTGAAGCAAAACGTTGACTGTCATACTATGCTCTGCTCGTTGTATTTTGGTCCGCATATTATTTGCTCTTCCTGAATTCTACTTATTCCACTCGGAATTTTGTATCTAGAGCAACTTTTAGTTCCTCTACAAAGACTCAAGTTAATACTTTGCTTCGCGAAGACAGGAGCATGGATCCACTCACAGTTCTTGCAAGGACTTAAGATGTTTTTTCTAATCGGCAGGTATACGATACAGAAATTTATTTAGCCTACAGATTGTGCAGATAAAAAACAAAGGTAGCGTGCAATGGTGGCTGCGGGTTAAATACACACAATATTTTGTTCATAACTCACATATTCATACACTGAAAAATGGCCTTCCACTTAGTCAGCTGCAAACAACCAGAACACTGCTCACAAGTTGATGTTATACATATAAAAATTATACTGAGTAGCTGGTAGCATTAACGTAGTTATTGAAGAAAATAACACAGATGTGAGCCAATGAAGGTGCATATACAGTTCCCACTCCCTGCTATCCAGTGTGGAAATCGACTTGTTCTTTGAGTGATTGATTTGGTCTGGTCACTTCAGAGGAAGTGAAGGTTTTGCAGTTTTGTTCATACCGTCGACTACAGACCACCTTGGAATAGGTTAGGATGCTAAATTTTAGGGATCAACTTTGTCTGATTCTTTCTTCCAATATTGAAAGGCAGCATAGCCGGCTTGGTGATCACTCTGCTGCTCCTATACACCTGTTTGTTAGCAGCAGGATTCCCCCTCGAACCTGCATAATAATATTGACAACTTACACTATAATGGTAAATTCTATTAGTCTTACCAATATCTAATCGATATTTTTTGAGCAATAAAGTCTGCAGGTATATTCGTTCTAGACTTCATAGCTGATTAAGTCAGTACGACCTGCGAGTCTGACCATGAAGTTATGGTATGTGAGTAAACATTAGGTCAGTGATATGCATGTTTATGCATATAATCAAGACAGATTAGGTAAACAAAGCCAGGTGGTAGCTGGTTATATGCACTACTGGTATGATGATTTGATACTGACATCGTATATACAGCCAGCTTGAAAACCCAGAGAAGAAACTATTAAGAGCAAATAAACAAAATACTTCAATACCTTGGCCCATAGCAGAATACCAACCAGGCTGTAAAGTTCTCCTCCCTTTCAAAGAACGTCGAACATTAACTGGCCATGCACCATTTTTATCTTGATGATGGATGAACCAGTCAGCAGCCGAAATAAAGCGTACTTCATGTAACAGCTTTTCAGTCGATCCCGTTTCCCTCTTCTTTGCATCATATAATATTGTTTGTGAATTTACCGCTTTACCAAGACGTAGCTTCTCTATCATTATGTCAGCAGTTGCATTATGTGAGTTGATGTAGAAATTTATCTCCAGAACTTGTACATGACTAAAAAAGTACATCACAAACAAGTGAATTAGACACTCTTACCAAAACATAGCCGACAATTACTGCTGTCTTCGGCATTAGCAACAGTCTTCAGGATTTCAGTTACACTGTCTACACTATTCTCTAAGTAACTGAATCCAACAGTTAATCGTGTTGTGGACTGGTGCAATATCTAGTTTGATCAGCCCTAACTCTGTTCTAAACCAATCCCATATCAACTGGCATTATTTGTAGAGGTGAAGGGTGGTCGAGGATGAAAGTAACGACGGTACTTCACAGTCTCATATTCATTGACATCCCCTCTCTAACTGACACCTTACGACTAAAACCTCACAATTTTACTTATGAGGGGTACTTGATAAGCATCATAGACAATTTATGTACACATCAAGCAAACACATCAGATTGACAAGAGTAGTAGGTAAATAAAAGGAAAGTGGTAAACTCCAGGAAAAAAGGTGAATACGAAATCACATTTGAAATGAGTGAGACTAGACTGCACTGGGGAGACAGAAATTTCAGTCAAAAGACGTTACAGGAGAAGCTTAGTCCATCTATTATAAAGCGAATAATTGATCCCATATGTTTATTAGCCGTATCCGAGACACGTGACTAGAACAAAATTGTCATGACGTGGACAAATGTAGTTATTATTATTATTATTGTTCCCTTGAGTATCCAGTGGAACATAGGGCTTCAACTTCACCTATCCACTTACTTCTGTCTTCCTTCTGCTGTACTTTTTACCTGCATCCATGTTAGTCCATACTCTTTCAACTCCTCTTCACACGATCTCCTCCATATCACCCTTGCACTGACGTCCCACTCGCCCCTTGCTTCCCTTTCGGGCTCCACTCGAGCAATGGCCTGACGCGCGCGCGATGTCACCCAGTGGCCTCCTCAGCGAGTGTCCAATCCATCCCCACTTTCTCCTGTATATTTGTTGGTTGGCGATTGGTTCTTGTTTTGTTTCTTCCCATAGTTTCTTGTTGGTGATTCTTTCCGGTCCGGCCATCTGATCTTCAGTATAGATCCAGTGAAGACAGTTGTTGATAAAGGTCTGCAACAGGCTGTTGGAAATAATCTTTGTGACCCGCCCGCCAAGTTTCTGATCCGCACAGAAGAACTGACTTCACGTTTGTATTGAAGATCCAACTGGATTTGTTGTTGATGGTGAGTTGAGTGACGAAGGTTTGCAGATTGGTTTCAGGTTGATGAATGATATTCGCCATCCCGATTCTCGCTAGATTTGACATTCTCGTCCGTTCTGACTGCCTGTAGTTGAGACAATGCTAGCTAGATAAGTGAATGAAGTAACCACTTTCAAATCCCTCTCGTTGATGGTGATTGGCATTGGATGTTGCTGCTGTTGTCGCTGGACAATTGTAGTTGGTCACTTCCAACCCATGAAAAGATAGCATGATAACAGATAGCTATTATCCACCATTTAGCAAAGTCTCATTCACCATCTTACCACTTGCCTAATATGCTTCAACTAGGCAAAGCAAGCAGAAATCTACCTACTTAAGGATTTGATTATTGCAGCATGAGGAACATCTTGACTGAATACACCTAATGAATGTATGTGCCAGTAGCATTCAATTGTGGTCCAATAATCATGTCCCTAACTTATATTTATATTTTTTTTATATTTTTGATTACAGCTTGATTCCACACTGTATTTTTGGTACAAGTATGGAATTTTCAGCACGGATATCGGTAGCCCAAATTTCGCAGGCCGACCATAGATATCAGTTGTGCATCGGCGTGGGCTCGAACCCTGGACCATGTGGATGGTCGGCGAGAGTCCTAACCACTGTGCCACCGACGGGTTAGCCTATGGACAGATATTTGGGACCTATTCCTACAGGTGTATTTTTGTGAACTGAAAATAGGAATAAAAATCTGAACACCGAAATCAATGAAGCAAACTTCTATCCCAGCTGGGTTTTTTTAACCAAAGGCTAAACGACGGTGTGGAACACCTAATCGATTATGAAATGTAAAAATCAAACTTGCTTCAAAGACCTGGTGGATAAAATAAAAACTAGATTTTTATCCGACCATCAATATCCTTATATTGACGAGATATCAAAGAAATTCAAATAACATTTCAAACACCCCATTCCTCACATTAAGCCTTGTCCTGTTACATAAAAATGAAGTGTTGACAAGTGCAAACAGAAGTAGATGCATACTCATACAATTACTAAAATACATCTTGAAGGCAATAAGATGGACAGTAAATCGGGATAGAGCTCACCCGTTTCCCCTCAACTTCATCTTCTCACATTATGTTCATATCCACCTGACTAACAACTTAAGTGAATGATTAGAACTCCGAAACCAGATTGATGAACCGAATTTCATAAATTGCCTACTCATGTTTAATAACTCTAAGTTATTGATATTGATTGGTAGACTTTCGGATATCTTTATGTTGTCCTCTGACCACTTGGTCCATCACAAAGTGCCTGTGGGGTTTAGAAGTTAGAAAGTAATAACTTTTATGCAGCTGCAGAAAATGTGAGGCAAATCCAGTGACACCGATTCTTACAACTCCGCTCACATATGCGTATTCCCAGAATACTACAACTATTACGACGACAAAATAAACATAAAGTATTTAATGGAATAGACAGGAATTTAAAAAGAGACCACTGCCTCCAACTATCTAATATCATCAGACCACTGGATCATTTGAAAAGATAAATAATAAGTAAAATGACAGAAATGCTTACAAAGGATAACTGGTAGTATTATTCTGATGAGATTTTTTGACATTTGAGTCAACGTGTTCAGAGAACTTCCAAAATGGAAAGAATACTTTTACCAAATCAGTGTAAACATCTCGTGCTAATTTTACACTTTCAACTGATCCATATAATTTGGCTGACTTTCCACATTCCGGCATCCAAAATATGACTGTATTTCCACTGGAAGAAATAGAAGTATATGTTAGCTGAAAGACAAAAAATAGGTTGTGTAAAACTGACTGTTATATCTCAACACAATAACATACCTAAGTTAACGAACAAATGAGATAACTCTACCACGATCCCGCATAGATAAGATTGATATTCTATTGCTTTATGTAGTTTGACTTGATTTTAGAGCTTTTAGTGTTATTCCGGGTAGAGCCGATAAGAGAACTATTACGTGAAGACTATTTGATTTTGACTATGTACTTCATATCACCTTACTATACACTAATATACTGTCTACCCATATTGCATTGAATCAGTCGACAACCAGTATTTGTAAGCCTGAAGTGTGTTTGGCACCGTCCAAATATAAAGTTGGAAGAAAGAAAGGAACTTGTGCATTCGGTGTCAAAGGTGTGTAGATATTCCTGAGATTCGACGGCGCCTGATAGCCCAAAGTGAAAATCATATAGTCGCCGATATCTTACTGGATTCCAAATCTAGAGTGACGGGGAGATGATGACATGGAAGATTGAGAAGAAAGGATTTTTGGTGTTGGTATAACGTGACTTCCTCAATTAGCTCCAGAAAATCACTAAACTCCGAGGCTTAAAAAGTTCCCAGACATATGGCGCAGAATTGAAACCAATAATGATGATGCCGCATTTTCTTTATTTTATGTGCTATCGAAAACAATGTTAAGTAATAAGCACCCTTTCCTATTAATGTGGTCTTCCAACTATATGCTTCCATTATTATTTGATGTCCATCCTAATGAATAATAAAAAAATGAAACATTGTCTTAATGGAGTCTAAGCATAATACACCTGGCTGGTAAAGGTGTCCAGTCGACCTTTAACAAAGTGTATGAAAATGCGTGTCAACAGTGATATGCATAGGTACAGTATCATGCAGGACGTAATTGTAGTGTTTATAATAAGATGTAAATACAACTCCACGACGAAACATGAGACTTCAAAAATGTCTCTGAAACACATACAATATGGTTACAGGATTTCATCATGAGCTGACACTGGTTAGAGAACCATTGGAAAACCTGGGAGTACTGGACAGCTGTTTCGTCCTAATTTGGGACTCTTCAACAATACGCACCCAAAACCATCCAGTTAAAAGGCGAGCTCGTAGACCGTTGAGCCACTGGGAACCGATCCAATGGCCCATGAATTCCAACTTCTGCCAATTCCTGGTATAGCGCAACCGCTAGCCAATGTCTTCGGCGAGTATTTATCCTCACACCCGACCTGCTGCACCCTACTGGTCACGACCAATATCATCTCATGATGAAATCCTGTAACCAATCAACCAAATCTTTACAAACCAATACTCGAATATATAATATGGTTCGTCGAAGCGGTAAATGATTTTTCTGAGTGTTTCATCGTGCAAGATACAGTGAGACTCGGAGATTTTCAATATAACGGGGTTAAAACAACTAATTTTACAGTGACTCTATCACACACTCGTCTAAGATTTATCATCGGGTTATTATACGCACACATTGGTTGTGTCCACTGAGACTTTAGGCTGCAATTAAATAAAAGCAAGGTAGGAGACTATCTGTTTCAAACACCATCGACTGAGACACTTGGCGAATATCCTGTGCAGTAACAGTAAATCAAATTACTACACTTTCACGAAACGTGCCTTTCCTCAACCAACTGGGAAAAAATAAATAAATAAGCCTGTACATCAAGGAAAGATATGCAAAATTACTTGACTTCATGAACTCAAAGCTAAATCTAACCAATAAGTCACATTTAAATTTCATCCAAGTAAAAATCAATGGAAATGTGTTTAAGGATATCTTTTATAATGGCGGCGACTATTGTTTAATCTATGTAAAAGGCACAATATTATTACGGGAACTAGATAAACATACACGTCCAGCGGGTGATTGTGAACAGTTATATATAATCGAACTCCTTCTGGGACGATGATTGAAGTGATAATCAGCTGTTTTTGGAGGATACCACTGCACCAATAGTTCGACGAAACTCCCATAGGTCCACTGACGACCAACCATAATAAAATAATCCCAATCTTTAAGCTTTGGGGTGATAGAAAGGCTTCGACTACTAGAGTCTACATTTCTCGCTACAATAAAACATATATATATGGAACACATGTAAATATCCAACAATACTGCCAAGCATAATACCACCTAAAACAGAAGTCGTTAATAGATACATGAAAAAAAATCAACATGAAAATCCCTGATGAACAACGGCTACACGTAACCATACGGATACAAACACTATTTGTATCTCTACCGCCTTTAAAAGTCATCATCCACGACGATCCAAAAGGCATGAATTCCAAAGAATTTCACATTCATTGATCAACAGAACCTATTGGCGAACTCCTAAATAATATTTACATACCACAGGATTGAATAAAGTAAGCGTTGTCTAAAATCTGACAGATGAAATGCATGAGACATAAGACGTTTTTCACCTACTGCTTCACCTATTTTACCTATAATTACAATTTCAACATTAATCACTGTAGTTCTGAAATATAAGAGCGAAGCTAGGCCTTTCAATGCATTTATGCAGCCATCGTATATTACAGTCATAAAGTAAGATGAAGCGAACTGCTGTATTGTGACTCTGAAAAACAATCAGCTAGTATGTCGACAACAGAACTGATTCAAGCCGGTAAATATCCGATAGGCCCAATTCGTCGCCTTTACGTTACACTGATACACTTTCCACAACAGCTGATACACCGCATTGACCATTTCACTAACGATCTTTAAACTAGGAGTTGGTGCAGAACACCTTTTAACCCTATTTTACACTTAACAAGTGCAAAATCTACTTCAGTCAAGACATTCAGAATAGTGCATCATGATTATCACATTAACAAAACCACATACTCTAAGTATAGTAAATCAATTAAATATTCTACCGGTAGCAGGTTAATTTTCCATGAATTACCTTATCAGTACTTTTATGACGAAAGGATAAAATCAAGCATCCCAAATTGCCAATTTGACAAACTCTTATACGGCGATATGAGTGTAAGTGGAGATAGAAAATGCACTAATAAGATGCCCCGCATAATACCAAACACCACATCTCAACAGATACAGTGCAACTCCCTGGTTAGGTGCCGGGAAGAATGTCTACGTTCTATAGCAGGTTAGAGAATAAGGGTTTTCTCAACACATTGTGACTAAAAGTAGACGACATGTTGCTAAGCTAATCAAATACATGAGAATAAATGTTCTAATTCTTTTAAACTAACAAAAAGTCATCACAACGACAGTGAACAGTGGTGAGCGACAAAAGCGAAAGAGATAGAAAAGGCATCGGCGATTGGTAACACTTGTCTGTCTGTCTGTTGTCGACATAGAACTTTGCACAAATGTGCGCCAGTTCAAGTCGCCACACTCCGTGTAGCACGCGAAGGATTGGTAACACCAGACAACTATTTAGACTCATCAGGGAAGTAAGTTGCAAAAGGCAAATGATAAGTGAAACAATCTCCGAGAAAAATGGCAGCATAATTAGCTCTCAGGATGGATGACTGGAATGTTGGAAAGAACACTTTGGGGAGCAATTCATCTGGCCTACAGCCACGCCCAACTTACCCAGCATCCAACAGCTCCTTGAATCGGATATAAACACAGGTTCTTCATCCCTAACTGAGGTTACAGAAGCTGTCACTAGTCTGAAACGAGGCAAAGCAGGAGGACCTAATGGAATGACTCCAGAGGAGTTTAACGACGATGGAGACAGTTTACTTTCTGCATTAAAAAAGGTTTTAAGCAGCGTCTGGAAATCAGAGATAGTCCCGTTGAACTCGTATGAGTTACTGATTATCCCGATATATACGAAGAGAGACAAATCTTCCTGTGATAATCGCAAGGGGATTTAGCTTGAACAATATGGTATGTAAAGTTCTAGGCTCAATAATCGTGAGTAGAATAAGTGGTGCTCGGGGGGAACAAGCACGAGAGAACCAGGCAGGCTGTAGACCAGGAATACAGTGCACTGATGATATCCTCACTCTTCGACAGATTCTGGAACAAAGGCATACTTACGGGCGGCGTCCAACAATCGTCATACTTCTTGACCTGAAAGCGGCATTCAATTTCGTTGGCCGAGACGTACTATGGTGATGTTTGGCTGTGAAGAGAATGCCAAGAAAATGCATCGCACTAGTCAAAGCACTCTCTCCTGCAGCCAGATGAGAGATTACGGCGAGTTGTCATCTGAGTTGGTGACAACCAGTGGAGTTCGTCACAGATGCCCACTGTCCCCATTTCTGTTTAATTTCATCATAGATGTACTACTAATGGACTTAGCCCTAACTAAATTCAGTAACTAATGGATTGACTCGTTGCCATCAGGAAATAATCTCGTTGACTTAGAATATGCAGATAATATAGTCCTTCTAGGTGATGCTGATAAAATGCAGTCTTCTGGATACCTTTGGCAGTAGTCTTCGAATGTTTGGCATGCGATTTGCTGCCGTCAAATGTAAGATGGTGCTACAGGATTGGACTACACTGACTCCGAAAAGATAGGGAAGTGGTACAATGTGCTGACCACTTAACTTATTTGGGGAGTTGCATCAATCCCAACGGATAGATTCCTAACGAAATCTCAGTACATATACAGAAGGCTTGTTCGGCATACACCATCTCTGCTGTAGACCTGATATCCGGCCGGTTGTCGACCAAAGGGCGTGTACTGCTTAGCAGTTCGCTGTCCTTCCTTATGGCTGTAACTGAAACATGGTCATTGAAATTTGAAGATACGAAAAAACTAGCTGTCTTTGATCACAGGTATCTGAGTTTTATCTTCAGTGTTAGGTGGTATAATAGGGTGAGCAATATTAAGGTTGGGCTTCGAGTACTAGGTAAGGAGGGGAAATCAATTGACGAAACTGTGAAGTTACATCGATTGAGATGGCTAGGAAATGTATTGCACATGCTCAACCATCGGTCGCCTTTCTCGATGAGTAGTGTTAGCTGACATGAGATCAGGTTGGAAAATAGCTAGTGGTGGTCAAACGAAAATATGGCATCCACCAATGAAACCCATAATACTTAGTTTGAGCTACGTACGTAGGTGTGGACTTCCTGGTTGGGGTTCTTGGGTTGGTATAAAGCAATGAAGGCTGGAGACAATTGATAATATAGCTCAAAATCGCTCTCGGCGATGGTGCAGATGCAATTACTCTTTGTGATTTATAATAGCCAATAAAATTATATGGTTCTTTCATATTACTATTCTTTGTGCCTCATATTTCTGTTTATCCTTTCTGTTTTGAATCTATCTTTACTCGCTTCTCTTGCTTCGTGTGCTACATGGAGTGTGACAACTCAAACTGCTGCACATCTGCACAAAGTTATAAACTGAAACCAGCCAGTCAGGCAGTATTTTGAATGACCTAGCAACGTGTCGTTTACTGTCAGTCGTCTAGCCGAAGTACTAGCAATAGTTTCATTCATCTCTTCTTCACCAGCCCCACTTAACGCTCAGATGATAGAAAACAGAATCCAGCATGTTATTTTTTACCACTATCCCTAAATAATTTTAGGGTAGGACTGTCAGACTTTGCTGCATTTCTCTAGTTTCTCACTTTAAACAGCCTTATTAATCTTACTCAGTGATAGAAGATTGGAAGGCATAGGCCATTTAGGAGACACCTACAATGAGGTTGTGGACTACGTCAACTCCTAGCTTAGTGATAGGGAGTGAAGTGATAGAACATGTTGACCACTTCACCTATTTGGGAAGTTGTATTAGCACCAACGGACTGATTGGCGATGAAATCTCAGCACGGATCCGAAAAGCTCGAGCTGCTTTCGCTGACTTACACCATCTCTGGCGTAGGCGTGACATCCGGCCATCAACCAAGGGACGTGTGTACTGCTCAGCAGTTCGCTCCGTCCTTCTCTATGGCTCTGAAACATGGCCAATACGAGTTGAAGACATGAAAAGGTTGAGTGTTTTTGATCACAGATGTCTACGATCTCTTTCTCACGTTAGGTGGTTTAATAAGGTAAGTAATGCTGACGTTAGGCGTAGAGTGTTGGGCAAAGAGGGAAAATCAATCGACGAGGCTATAAAGTTACATAGATTGAAATGGCTAGGTCGGGTGGTGCGCATGCCTAACCATCGCCTCCCCCGACGGGCATTACTAGCTGATATAGGTGCAGGTTGGAAAAGAGTAAGTGGTGGCCAAACAAAAACATGGCCTCATCAATCCACGAAATCCTTGACAGTTAAACTGAGTCAGGTAGGGAGATGCAGACTTCCGGGTTGGGGCCCTCGGGACTCTAGGAATCAATGGCTGGAGACAATAGGTGACATGGCTCAAAATCGTTGTCAATGGCGCAGATGTATTCAGTCTCTGTAATCTTTCATATTTCTTTCTACCATTACCCATTCTGTTTCACTCGTATACTTGTCAAACTCTATTGATTCTCTTCACTCATCTTCTTGTCTACTTTTGTGTACTATTTGGAACGTGGCAACTCGAACTGGTGCACTTCGGTGCCAAGTTCTATGTTGAATCCAGACAGACAAGTTGTGGGCTATTTGAATTTGTTTAACGCATGTCACTTTCATACGACTATTGGAGTAATAATTACTCATCTGGAAGGGACTTTGCACGTTAAAAGGAAGGTAAGCGAATTATGGAATACGAATTTATAAACAACTCTATTCAGATTTACTAACCTGACAACATAAGCGAATTATTCGGTTTGTTCAAACGTTTTCCGTTACTCCAGTGATGAAGAACATTATCAGAGACAGTAAGATCTAAATCCATAATTTCATTCATCAAGGATGAATTATTTTGCACATCTTTGATGCCGCTTTTGTCAGATGTTATTAACTGGCTAAAGTGATTCAAACCAAACTGGGCAATTTGAATTGGATATGGGTAACCACGGTGGTCCCACTGACTACTAATTGGTACACCTGAAATAACAGAATTTTTGATTTTCATTATATGAAATAACTCTGAAGATCCATGAATAAATTTCTTAATAATGTCTGCTTTAAATAAGAATAATAAAAATAATAGATTTACATGAAGAATAAAAATAACTGAGTGGATTAAACGAAAAAGGAGAGTGTGCGGAAATCGACGAAATCTTCAGAGGCTGCACAGCCGTATTTTTATTTACCAAAAATGTATGGTAGTAATGGGGCGATGACACTGAGTTGAGTACCTAGTAATTCACAACTTTTATTTTTTAATTCTTAAGTCACTTCTGAAAGATTATATCAATTGTCACCCCCTATTACTCAATAAGAGACTACCATACATTTTTGGTTAATATAAATACGACTGTACAGCCTCTGAAGATGATTTCGTCAATAAAGAAATTTTCTTCGCTGAATTTCTCTTTTATTTTGTTCATGACTCAGTGGGTATTTTCGGTGATGATTATAATGCATTTACATACTCATTCTGAAGTTATTTGCTTCTCTGAAAAAAATTGTTGTTGATTAGGCTACTTCCATAGGATGGGAAAGTGACAATTATACACATAGAGGTGTATAAATTAAGGTAAAAGTATAAAGTAAAGGAGGATATGAAACAGCTTTTTTGCTTGGCTTTTGTTATTATGTACATATAAAGTCTAACCCGATATATACATCTTCGGGTAGTACCTTATCAAAACACGACACTATGTGCATTTAAGAGTTAGCGGTTATAGCACGTGATATAATCAACACTATTTTAAAATTAGTCAGACACTATTTAGAGGACTTGATAAACTGTTTGAGATACGGAGGATCAAATATACATAGAATACATGAATACAAACACAATCCGACAGCTTTCTGTACCATCAGTTCATTCCTGGTTCTACGACTATTCACTCAGAAAAAATTGTAACAGCTAATACATGAAGAACAAAACCATGCGTAACTAAAAAGTAAATTTCTAAGAAAAAACTAAAACGCAAACATCTATTCACATATGAGAGCTATAGATAAATGTTTATCCAACTACGTGTCTCGTCTAAACAATACTCATATTATTCAATATATCCTCAGTTATATTCGTGATCACTGACTTGTGGTAACTGCTTTCCGATAATATATATCCAAACCAAGTTCACTTTTAACGGTTTGAAAAAATTTGGGCACTGGGTATATGATATTCATTATAATAGAGGTTTTTTGTGTTTCCCAATGAATGAAAAACAAAACGAGATTGTTTTTAAAACAATCTCGTTTTGTTTTTTCATTCATTGGGAAATACAAAAAACCTCTATTATAATGCTTTCCGATAAATTTCTCTAAGAATATAAAATGTCATATAATCATTAAAACAAGAACAGAGCATAATAATGAATATAGTAATCGAAAAAGTGGCATTATCTAACAGGCCAGTTTATTTTCAAGCAATCGGTGCATTTCTGTTGCCTTTAATGACTCATTATTCTAATAACTATTTGAGAAATACAGGCATTCAAACCCCTGTATTAAGACGGTTAAACTTTTCAAGTGAATCCTTAGTATGACTAAATGATTGATGAATCAACGTGCAATATACCTACACTTCTAGGGGAATATTCAGACATATGTCGATTCCCATTGAAAGACAGCTCCCACTAGTTCAACAACTATTGAAATGAATGGAGATAAGATGTTCACATGGTGCATTTAAGCTAATTGACTTATTTGCCTCAACAGACTTTGCACTAAGACTAAGTCACAATTACAGTTATTAGACAGACGCATGATCCCATTTGAAGAATTTCACACGCGCTGTCATAATCACGGAAAAGTCTACTTACAAGCCATATCTAATAGATTTCACAGAACTAACAAAAACATGTCATGGAGGTGAGAAAATATCGTAATTAACAAACCGCATCAATGATAAAATAGAGAATAGAATACCTTCATCAGCAGTAACCAGCTTCACATGGAGTCTTTTCTCTACACTCAGTTTGTTGAACTGCATATATATACCCCTGGGGTTATGTTTATACAAATGAGCCTTTGGGACTTCAACATTAGCATGATTCAAATAGAATGTGTTGGATGACATATCAAGAGAACCAAACACCTGAAAAATGAATATGATTAATTTCAGGTAGAAAATATAAACGTAATTCGATATCACCTCAATATGAAACAGGATTTCCCGGCAGTTTATACTCATAGACATCGTTACGATTTAATCCAGGACAGGGAGACCTTTTTACCACAGAGTTGGTCTCTTATTGGCTTATCAGCCTGATTGTTTGACTTCCAGTTAGCAGGTCTCCAATTCGGACTCCACTCGTACTACCTCAGTAGGGACAACTGGGTAGTATCACTAATCCTCACACAGTACATGTGGCTTACAGCCTAGTATGTGAAAAATCTTCCCCGGGAGGTCCAGTTGTGACTAAGTAAAACCACTTTCTCAATCCCTAGACATTACGTAACAAACAAATAGTTCTAACTTCAGAAAATTTATTTTTTAAGTCTATCATTCTGACAGACAACTTCCTTTGATAACGGTGCAGCCTTTTGATGCCAGGAATTACTTATCACTTCAGACGGCTAATATACTATGAAGAGCATTTATAAGGGATGCAACTAAAAGCGCCGGTGAATTGGAATCTAGTTCTTGGCCAAATCACTTTTGCAAATGAAAATCCAAAACCACTTTTATATTCGCATAAGACACTTCATACACCTCTGAAATTCACTCTCTGCAAATAAAACGCAGACAGCAATCCATTGCGGCCACCCAAAGGACAATCACACCACGAGCACACCAAGGGAGTGGTCATCATGATGTCACCAACAGCAGCCAAAGCTCTCATGCAGTGGGAACCAATCTCCTCCAGAATAATGACAGCTAGGTTCAACTCAAAAGGAAGGATGCTTACAGTCATTCAATGCTATGCGCCTACAAACGTCTCAGAACAAGAGAAAAAGGAGGATTTCTATGGACAACGTCCCAAATGGCGATACCGAAATCCTGATGGGCGACATGAATGCGAAGCTGGGAGGAGACAACACAGGAAGAGAACTCATCATGGGTCGTGAGGCCCTCGGCGAAATGAACGACAATGGTGAACTCTTCTCAGACTTCTGCGCCTTCAATGATTTGGTGATTGGTGGCAGTGTGTTCAAACACAAGGATATACACAAGGCGACATGGATTTCACCAGATGGACACACTAAAAACCAGATAGATTTCATTTCAATCTCAAGGAGGTGGAGACGGAGCCTACTGGACACAAGGTCAAGGACACAACCACAAAGGATACTTTCACTGCAACTGTCAGGGTGAAGCAGGAAACACTACGTGACATCACTGAAGAATCATGCGTGGAGGAACACTGGAACTCTCTGAAGACGATTCTCAACGAAACGTGTTCAACGGTTCTAGGAAGAAAGAAGAGACAAGACAAGGAATAGCTCTCAACGGACACTTGGAAATTAACAGAAGAGAGGAGAATGGTGAAAGAGAAAATGATCCAATGCAAAGACGGACAAGAGAAACAAACACTGAGCTCAACGCACACAGCACTGGACAAAGTGAAGAAGAGTGCTAGGAAGGACAAAAGACAATTCGACGACAACCTGGCCACTGAAGCTGAAAAGGCAGCAGGCAAAAGGGACCTGAGGACACTATATCAGATAACCAAGTCGGGAAGAGATCAACACAAGTGAAACCTATAAAAGACAGCCATGGGAACCCAATTACCAAGGAAGAAAAACAGATTAAACAATGGGAGGACCACTTCAAAAGACTCTTGAACCGACCACACCTGCAACCCGTCCAGAAATGCCAACAACAGCGCGCACACAACTGCAAGTTGACACCAATCTTCCAACGAGAGCTGAAGTCTAGAATGAAATCAAGCTTCTGAAAGCTGGAAAAGCAGCTGGACCAGATGGAATATCCCCTAAAGCACTGAAGGCGGACTCAGAGACGACAGCAGATATGGTGGCTCCGCTATTGTGAAAGGTCTGGGAGGAGGGAAAGGTGCCTACTGACTGGAGGAAAGGTTACCTCGTGAAATCACAAAAGAAGGGCGACTTAGGACTCTGCGAGAACTGGCGAGGAATCACGCTCTTGTCGACGCCAAGTCAAATCCTGAGTCGCATCATCCTGGAGAGAATAAGGGACGCACTGGATACAGAACTGCGACCAGAACAAGCTGGATTAAGGAAAGGCAAATCATGTACTGACCAAATTGCAACTCTACGCATCATCATCGAACAAGGCATGGAATGGCAATCAAACCTCTACCTCAACTTCATAGACTTCGAGAAGGCCTTTGACAGCGTTGACCGTGAAGTAATTTGGAAACTACTCGAGTACTACGGCGTACCCCAAATATTCATCAACCTTATTTAACAGCTGTACAACAACGGCACATGTCAAGTCATCCACAACGGAAAACTCAGCGAGGCGTTTGGAGTAAACACAGGAGTCAGATAAGAGTGCTCATTATCACCAATGATATTCCTAATTGTGGTGGACTGGATTATGCGTCAGACAGTGGGAAACTAGAAATCAGGAATATCCTGGATCGACGTGAGGAACCTAGAAGACCTGGATTTCATGCGTGGATGATTTATGTTTGATGTCACAAAATCGAAGACTTACAAGCGAAAACCGACAAACTGTTCGAAGAAGCAGGTAGTGAAGACAGGACTCCATGTGAACATAGACAAGACGGAGGTTATGAAAATAACCAACCAACCAACAACAACAACAGCAACATTCATCGCCAATCACCATCAACGGGAGGGATTTGAAAGAGGTTACTTTATTCACTCACTTATCTAGCTAGCATTGTCTCAACTACAGGCAGTCAGAACGGACGAGAATGTCAAATCTAGCGAGAATCGGGATGGCGAATATCATTCATCAACCTGAAACCAATCTGCAAACCTTCGTCACTCAACTCCCCATCAACAACAAATCCAGTTGGATCTTCAATACAAACGTCAAGTCAGTTCTTCTGTGCGGATCAGAAACTTGGCGGGCGGGTCACAAAGATTATTTCCAACAGCCTGTTGCAGACCTTTATCAACAACTGTCTTCACTGGATCTATACTGAAGATCAGATGGCCGGACCGGAAAGAATCACCAACAAGAAACTATGGGAAGAAACGAAACAAGAGCCAATCGCCAACCAACAAATATACAGGAGAAAGTGGAGATGGATTGGACACTCGCTGAGGTGGCCACTGGGTGACATCGCGCGCGCGTCAGGCCATTGCTCGAGTGGAGCCCGAAAGGGAAGCAAGGGGCGAGTGGGACGTCAGTGTAAGGATGACATGGAGGAGATCGTGTGAAGAGGAGTTGAAAGAGTATGGACTAACATGGATGCAGGTGAAAAGCACAGCAGAAGTAAGTGGATAGGTGCAGTTGAAGCCCTATGTTCCACTGGATACTCAAGGGAATAATATTAATAAATAAAACGCTAGATACAACAAACAGTCAAATAAGTGCTTGGCTTGAAAAATTTCACAACTAAATAACAATGGAGTGACGAAACATGCAAGAAATACAGCATATAAGCGAATGTATTAGGTCACCCTAATACCTTTGTTACGAAAATGTTTCGTTGTTCAGGAAATCGGTTACGAGCACGTAAAAAATGAAATTAAGAAACTAGAGTTACGAAGTTGCTATTTCGGTACGGTGAGAGTTGACGATAACCAGCTGTCTACTAATACAGACAAAACTATAAAAGTTCTTCGACTGAAGCGTCATAGCAGTATATACGACTGACTGGTTGGCTGACAAGTGCTACTACTTGGCATAACTGCTTCTCAGTCCTGCATAGCAATAAGTAGTATAAATCACCATGCTATTTTACTAGCTTCCTTGATCGCCATCTATGGTATCAAGTGTATCAGATATTGTTATCCGAATGTCACTCGCTTAATAAAAGGACTGTAATGAAAAAGTCAATAGTACACAATAACGATATGATTACGGGACTACGCACACTATCGAATCAAAAGCATCTAACATGCAAATACACTCTGTTCTCAACTAAGTTTTCATATTAATAGAATCTATTCCCCTCATATTAAAAAAATAAAACCTGAAAGTTAAACTGTAGTTTAACTTACAATACAATATATTGTATACTGTTGCGATGCATAACATTATAATAACATCCTGATAGCATGAAAAAAGTACCAAGATATTTATGGAAATTTATTTGTCCACGCAGAATGAATAATTAAGACAATGACTGTAAAACGAACCTTTAAATGGGTACGAACTACCTCAAAGGAAACAAGTACGTCTTTTTCCTGAGTTAAGTAGCAATTAGGCGTCGGAACTCCGTTAACAATACATTGTATGGACTGTATGCACTGACGATAGATCTCATTAGTACTATGATTCCATCTAAATGACCAATAATATTTGGAAATTCCACTACCTGTCGTTTTGTTTCCCGTAGACAGCTTGTTGACTCTCAGGTTCATGGTCATATGTCAGGCTTTTCGAAGAATTCTTTCTATTTAATACACACACATACCTGGCGAATTTAGAGTAACGAGAAAGATACCGCAGTTCCCATAATATAATAAGGGCACCTGCGATCAACAAAAGAGCGACCAGACGCAAAGGACATAGATACTTCACACGCATAATGCTTCAATAACTCGACGAAAGGAAGCACGTTATAGGAAACTTCAGTGACTGTCGCAAATCATATTCACTGCAGCCAGCAAATGATATGTCTTGGTTGGTAGATGACCTAAAAGTCAACATTATTTGATATATGCCTCGCTGTTGTGGCTGAGATGTCTCCTGGAAAGAAAAAAATATTTATTGAGGTGTGCGGTTCACTTTTATTATTGTATAAAGACGCAGATCAACAGCCACATTTTCAAAGTGTTACACTAAGCTAGGTAATCAAAAATGAACATAACCGAGGCACCGTACTTCACTAGTTTTCCAAAACTCCAAAGCGTGAAGAATGCGTAAGGTTTCGGTTTCGACCTAGGAGTATCCAACTTATCACGTGAAAGCACTGCCCCATCTAGGTTGGTTTCCAGTGGACGCATATGTGCAGCCAGTCATCGCTTAGCCATCTTAACTCCTCTTGGCTAGACCGAATTTTGATAAGACTAAAACGAATATAACTGATTGACACCTTGACAAGTCTCTGTCAACTAGTCAGATGCGTCGGAAGTAGGAGTACGTAATTTGAAATAAACGCCAAAATACACAAAATGCAATGTTAAGAAATGGCTAAACAGGATCTAAGGAAACCTCTGAAGTTCTTAGACATTGCATTACTTTCATGCAAACATTTTATTGAAATTTTGCGCCGTTTTTACAGAGGTTTTTGACTGATCAAAGTTGTCGTTGTCGATGTCATTTGTCCGTTCGCTAGGTATTTACGGTTTTGGCTGCTATGCTTTGGAGTCACCATGATTTTTAAACCAACTAGTGGCCAAGCAACACTAGCTACCAGTGAAATGCGACGGCACCAATGACCTTGAAAGAGACACTGATCAAGTGAAACCTGGTAATGTTTTAATCATCAGTAAAATATGCCCATCAAAGTGTTAACTTATTAAATGGGATATTTGGTAAGTTTCACCTTAGGTTTGTGAAACTTTGGGTTACTGTTTAGACCAATGATATCGTCGCGCGCTCCTTGAATACGACATAAAAATAGATTTGTAATGCAATGGAAACCAATACAATGTCACTAAACAAGTTTCTTTTTCTTCTTTTTCAGAAAGAAACGTTGATTTGGCATCACTGGAGCAAGAGGAAGACCGGTTATCCAAACTTGTTATAAATGATGATAACTAGCTTGTACCCGGGTAATTCGAGTCTGGCTTGCTTGAAATAAACGCTTCCTCCTCGCCGTCTTTGCCTTCTTCTTCACCCGTCGTGCTTGTGGTCTGTGTGCGTTATAATTGGTGTCGGAGGTGTTTTATCTACGCAAAGACATGGCATATTACCCTGAAGATGCTCTTCCCAAGCTCTTTCCGGAGGAATGTGCCTCCACATTGCCAAGCATCCCGCCACTTCCTCGCCCACCCATGTTCCAGCCTTCCTCAGACTATCCACGCTGGAAGAAACGCATGCAGGCGTACCTCGACATCGCCCCCGCAAGCCACCATTTCATCCACGTCCTCAACAGCCTGTCCGACGACGCCTACGCTCGAGCTGACGCGGCTGGGTTCAGCAACACCAACCCCATGCGCACCAACTGGGAGATACTAGACCAATGCTTTGACTTGAGGCAGAGCTCGCAGCACACCATGCTCAGATTCTACTCCCGTCGACAATTACCAGGGGAGAGTTTCCTGGACTACCTCCATGCCCTCCAGCTCCTGGCAGCTGGCCTTGACTGCCACAAGGACCTCCCCAGCCGAGACCAGGCAGTATGCACACGCTTCGTCGAGGGAATGATGCCAGGAGAACTGCGCACACACCTACGACGTCAGCTCCCAACCAGCACAGTCGAACTACAGCGAATTATCCTCCATTTCATGGACGCGGAGAACGATTACACGCCTACACCCAGCAGCTCTCGATATCCACTGCCAACAGCACCCACAGCAGCCACCATGACTCCCGTCCGCAGTGACCGTTCCAGAAGCCAACGGCGTTCAAATGAGGATGCTACGCGTGGATGTTACTACTGCCAACGTTACGGGAAGAAGGCCCGCAAGTGCGGGCACAACCGTCAGCCCGACCGCAGTAAGTCCCCTATTTTTAACCTGTCTACATACTCTCGGTCACAGCAACCTTTGATGTTATGGGGATATATTAATGGCGTACCCTCTAAAGTTCTCTTAGATACTGGTGCGTCGGTTTCGCTCGTAAAGGCGGCCTTCCTTCGACGCGTGCCCCAGCACTCACCCCCAGTAACCGCACATAATATCTTGACGACGGCTAACGGCGCTAAATTGGAAGCTCGATCTGCTACAGATCTACAGCTGCGCCTGGGAGACTTAAATGTGCATCATCGGTTCCTTATCTGTACGCAAATAACATGGGACCTCATCCTCGGAGTAGACTTCATGACGTCCCACCAAACCCTGATAGATATTCCCAATTCTCGCGTCACAATCGACTCCGTTCCTGTAGCATTGTATAGCCCCCAACAACAGACCTCTTCGGAGTTAAGGGTACCAATATCTACCACCTTAAATCAAATTTCGGTTGACCCATCCGCTCCTGCGCCTCTCCGAGAGCGAATGCTAGAATTAATTGGTGTATACGCGGATGTGTTTGATGATGGGGCTAATCCAGGACGAACTGGAGTGGTCAAGCACCGTATCGATACCGGCAGCCATCCGCCGGTGCGCCAGCCATCCAGACGCATCCCGGTGCATTATCAGCCCCAACTAGAACGTTTGCTACAGGACATGTTGGATAAAAATATCATCGTACCTTCCTCGTCCCCATGGGCGTCACCTATTGTGTTAGTTAAGAAGAAAGATGGATCCCTCCGTATGTGTATCGACTACCGCAGGTTGAACGCCGTGACGAGACGTGATTCCTTCCCGATCCCTCGCATTGACTCTACTCTCGACGCACTGAGTGGCTCGAAATGGTTCTCCACGTTAGATTTAGCATCTGGGTACTGGCAAGTTGAGGTACACCCTGACGACTGCCCAAAGACTGCCTTCATCCTTCCGACTGGGTTGTATGAATTTCGCACCATGCCCTTTGGTTTGTGTAATGCCCCCGCCACTTTTCAACGGCTGATGCAAGTTGTCCTGGATAGGTTAGTTCCACAACAATGTTTAATATATCTTGATGACATCGTTGTCCACGGAAAATCCCCAGAAGAACACATAGATAACCTACGTACGGTCTTTAAACGCTTACGCACGGCGGGCTTAAAGTTGAAACCGTCTAAGTGTACCTTTCTTCAGCGAGAAGTTATTTTCTTGGGTCACCGCATTTCCCCAGATGGCATCCAGACAGATCCAGCGAAAACTCGCCTCATCTCCGACTGGGCTGTACCTAAGTGTAGTAAAGACGTTCGCAGCTTCTTGGGTTTCGCGTCGTACTATCGTCGCTTCGTCCCCGCGTTTGCCACCCTAGCATCACCCCTACATCGCTTAACGGAACAGGGTCGAAAATTTTTATGGACTAGTGAGTGTCAAGATGCCTTCAACGAGTTGAAGAAACGCCTCACGTCATCACCCATCCTCGCATTTCCTGACACGTCTCCATCGGCTGGCTCCTTCATTTTAGATACTGATGCAAGTGCCACTGCCATTGGTGCCGTTCTCTCCCAAGTGGCACCCGATGGTCGAGAACGGGTTATTGCATATGCCAGCCGTAAGCTCGACAAACGTGAAACCCGGTACTCCACGACACGCCGAGAGATGCTGGCTCTCGTTCACTTTCTCAAATACTTTCGTCATTATCTTCTTGGGCGCCCATTTCGAGCACGCACTGACCATCGTGCTCTGCAGTGGCTGCAAACCTTTCGCGAACCTGAAGGCCAGGTTGCTCGCTGGCAGGAACGGTTGCAGGAGTTTGATTTTACCTGTGAGTACCGCCCTGGACCCCGCCACGCTAACGCTGACGCCCTTTCCCGTCTGCCGCCTGATGTTTCCCCGGTGAATGCTATATTAAATACAGGTCTAGATGTTGATTGGGCAGCACTGCAGGCGTCTGACGCCGATATTCAACCTGTCTACTCCCGACAGCTTCACGGGAACGATAAACCGTCGAATAAAGAACTACAGAGTCTGTCTGATGCAACCAAATGCATCTGCGGTAAGTGGGGGATACTACGCCTGATTGATAACGTTTTGTACATAGTCGAACCGCCATCATCGCCTCGCCTTCTCGTGCCACGTTTGAAAGTCCCGGAGGTAATACGTCTTGTACACCAGCAGCTGGGTCACGCTGGCCAACGAAAAACCGAGCACGCCGTCCGTCAACGCTTTTGGTGGCCACTTCTTCACCACGACGTCACTGAGTTTTGCCGCAACTGTGCTACGTGTGCGCAGATTAAACAGCCCAAAGCATCCCCCCGAGCACCGTTAGTACCGATGCTTACCGAGGCGCCTAATCACCGAGTTGGGGTAGACGTAATGGGGCCAATAACAACGTCGAGACGCGGCAATCGATACATACTTGTCATGGTTGATTACTTCACAAAGTGGTGCGAAGCCGTCCCCTTGCGACAACAAGATGCCTTGACGATTGGCCGCGCGTTCATAGACAATTGGGTGTCCCGTTTTGGTGCCCCTCTTTATCTACACTCTGACCAGGGCGCTGCATTCGAGAGTTATCTTCTTGCTCACATCTGCAATACCTTTGGCATCCGGAAGACCCATACTACGCCATACCACCCACAGGGTAATGGACTCGTCGAACGTACCAACAGAACTATTAAGAACCTCATCAGTGCCTTCTTATGCAACGCACCGGAGAATACCTGGGATGAGGTCCTACCCCAGTGTTTGCTAGCATACCGCTCTTCCATGCATTCATCGACGGGTTTTTCCCCAGCCCTGCTATTGTTCGGACAGGAACTCCGTCTTCCAGTCGAGATTCAAACTCCGCTGTTACCATACGAGAAAATCGACTGCATTCCCTATGTCCGACATCTTCGCCACCACCTAGAGGTCGCCTACAACCTGGCGCGTCGTCATCTACAGTCCTCGTCCGACCACCAGAAGACTAATTACGACCGATTTGCCCGTGGCCCCACTTACTCGCTTGGCGATTACGTCTGGCTTCATCGACCATCCGTTCCGGCCGGTTCCTGCCCCAAATTCTACGCTCCCTGGCAAGGACCCTATGAGATCGTCCGGCATCGACCCCCGACTACGTATGTCCTGCGGCATCTGCAACGGCCTCAAGCGAAGCTAGTCACAGCACATTATAATCAACTGAAACCACATCATCCAGCAGCCGTCACGGAACCGTCTCCACCCGCGCAACCGCCGCCCGCAACCAGCTACGTCGAGGTGCCGCCCGATGGAGGTGTTGCATACCCTACACCACCACCGGGCACTGAGGACAGTGCCTCCAGAGGGGAGGAGGCGATGTAATGCAATGGAAACCAATACAATGCCACTAAACAAGTTTCTTTTTCTTCTTTTTCAGAAAGAAACGTTGATGTGGCATCACTGGAGCAAGAGGAAGACCGGTTATCCAAACTTGTTATAAATGATGATAACTAGCTTGTACCCGGGTAATTCGAGTCTGGCTTGCTTGAAATAAACGCTTCCTCCTCGCCGTCTTTGCCTTCTTCTTCACCCGTCGTGCTTGTGGTCTGTGTGCGTTATACTTGGTGTCGGAGGTGTTTTCTCTACGCAGAGACATGGCAAACTACCCTGAAGATGCTCTTCCCAAGCTTTTTCCGGAGGAATGTGCCTCCACATTGCCAAGCATCCCGCCACTTCCTCGCCTACCCATGTTCCAGCTCTCCTCAGACTATCCACGTTGGAAGAAACGCATGCAGGCGTACCTCGACATTGCTCCCGCGAGCCACCATTTCATCCACGTCCTTAACAGTCTGTC